TTTCCTGAAGCTATCTTGTAGCAATCTACTGACATCTGGTGGCCATTTGGGGCACACATTCATTGAAACATTTGCAGGAATAATGATCTGAATTTGAATGAAAGTAATTTGGAACGGACAGGTTCGGTTTACGACTGGGATGTCGTCGTAAACCATGGACCCTGAACAAGGATAGATTTATATGATACAGTGACTAGCGATGCATTCAGAACATAGGCCCTCAGTGGGGATTTCAGTGACCTAATACAGTGTTTCGCAACCTTTACTGAGCCAAGGCAGATATTTTACATTGGGAAAGAAATCTCACGTTACACCACTTAGCAAAAAGATCCACAAAACGTGTATACACATGGTAATGCTGTAATTTCTGTCATCTAGTGGAAGAGCATTTATTGTTCCTAGTAAGTGGTTGGCATAGCTAAATAAACAAAATATGTGTGTGTGGGTGTGTATGTACAGACAGACAGACATACAGACAGGTGGATATATGATTGATTGTTTTAGGGCAAACAAGTGCCAGGTTATGGTAAATCAGAAGATTGAATGTTCTATCCTTTAATGGTGTAAATATGATCAATGTATCATCTTATGTCTTTGTGGGTATAAAACACATTGCTTGGTTTTCTGTCTTTTGTTTTATTCTACAGAGAGCAGGAAGGGGACTTTATACAGTACCGTACTGTATTTGTATTCAGTTTGTTATTTTATCACTTTTATGTTTATCCTCGCATTCAAAACCCCACAGAGTCTTTACATATATCAGTGGACTTCATTCTAGACAGGACATCATCATTGCCCTTAACTACACAATTAACTATTGGCTTAATTTCACTAGAGTGATTGAGAATAACAACAAGAACAGCAAGAGGTTGCCTTTCAAAAAAAGTGTTACACAATTTAGTACTCGCCGTAAGGCCTGGTTTAAAACATGCATACTGTCTAACATGATAAAAGCAGAACAACTTTCAATAAAATGCATACTACTCACCTCAGACGCTTACTTGGAAGACAAAATCTTCAGGGCTAGTTTGTGTTGGGTAGTTCGAGCTAGCAAGTTTTTGCTGCTCCTGAAGTGGCAATAATAATACATTTCTCGGTTGAAAGAAGTTAGCCTGCAACAGGGTTCTCCAACCTGTCTTCAGACTGTCCAGCTTCTCTTGAAAAGACCAACTTGAAAATACTGTATTTGTTTTAATTATGTCCGACACCAGCCTCCAGGTAACAAGGTAATTTGGCGTACGTATTTATCTCAACCAATCAGGAGTGCACACAATCCAGGGCAGGTTAGATTAATATGGCAACACGTTGAGCATGACATCTGATTGGAGGAAACAATTGCACATATACGCGACGAGAAGCTGACTTCAAGACACAAATACAAGCTCTGAAATCAAAATAATTGACTTTTGGAAATAAATGCATACAGTTTCATCTAAGTTTTAAAGTAGGGTCAGTCATGATTGCACGCCACTACAAAAATTAAGCAGCAAGAGTTTACATTTTTGATTTTGGGGGAAGTGTTTGGCTTCTAATGAAGGATCTGGGTTGTGTATGACACAATTAAATCACTACCAGTCAAAAGAAGAATCCCAAAGCCCTCCCTGTATGGTGGCAGTGAACTCAACTCTGCTCACATTATCTTTAAAGGGTGTTGTTGCTGTTTTACATATTTTATCACTTGGGGAAAATAAACAGGTCAACATTTGTTGACCTGTCTTGTTATCCACTTAACTTGTCTGGGTAAAAGATTACATACTGCATGAGTCTTAATTGTATTGTCTGTGGTTCATGTATACAACGAATTCATAGTACATATATAAAGTATTGTGCAAATGTTTACTTATGCAGAATATCAATCTAAAACCCTGATTCATTCCAAATTGCAATTGAATGTGCCTGGTGTGTTTTACAATAGTGTACATTTAGATGGAGAGGATTGTAAGTGTGCATGTAAGTGTGAATGGTCATCCATAATGTTCCCTATGATTCACTGGCGACGAGTCCAGGCTGTTGTGTGCCTCTCATCCAAAGTCAGCCGAGATACTTCAGCTTCCCCTTGACCCTGAATGAGTAGTAGGAAATAGATGGTTTGAATTTCAAGCACCTGTGAGCTGCTTGCAAGTGGGTGTGAATTATTGGTTCCTATTAGATACCGGTGCACATTTTCATGCTCTCTCCCTTTTGAACTAAACAACGAAGGACACAATAACAGTTGCTGCAGAACCTTGAAAGCATCTCCAGAGATGTGTGCAAGAAGAAACATGACCATGAGTGATTTAGGGACAGTCAGTTTATTGAACAGCAATCATGACAGGAAACACAATAACTTTTTTTTTTTTAACCACGGCATCATAAACAATGCATAGGACCGCACATTAAGATAAACACCCTCTATGTTATGGAGGTCTCATTGCGGATTGGTGGGGTTGCAGATTTTTGTTTTGTTTTGTTTTTTTAAGTGCTGTGTGCACAACTCCTCTCGGAGGAAGTGAGCAAAGGTCGTGAGGATGGCTCAGACCGTGAAATTGTTGCAAAGGTCCCTGGTCACGTTGTTTATACATTATTGTGACGCCGACATTGACAAGTTTATATTTGTTCCTAGTGTGTGCTGCTTCTACTTATTGCATATCAGTGAGCTGGTTTTGTGTGTGTAAGTTTTAGGTGAATGTGTAAAGCAATAAATCTTTAGATAAATTATTCACTAAATAATACATCTTATAATATCTAAGTTACATTCTTATATCTGATTGATTTAGAATATGTAGGCAATATATATTCTGTGGATAACTGCTTATAGTGCACACCATCACATGGACCTCTTTATGCTGTCTCAACTTGGCATATAGAAACACTTCATATGAATTTAAATACATTTTGCATTGGAATCTGTGTATCTACTATGCATACCCTTTGTAACCATCGGTAATCAAAGTGTGATCTTGTGTGCCTTAGTCCACCTTTGTGCTTTTTTTTTTTTTTGTTTACAAACGCTCAAAGTTGTCATACACCTAGGGCTCTATTTTTGTTTAAATCCTGCATGGCGAGTTGCGTATCTCTGCGCATAAGTGGGTTAGATCCTAGACTGGTCATTTGTAAGGCCAGGCTGATATGGACTTTGTGGAGGGATTTGGCAGAAAAAAATTCCAATTACCGATTAATTGGCTTTTTTTTAATTCAAAGTATATATAATGAATAAAATAACTTATTTTTGGGTCCCTTAAAGCTTACAACAATAACGATATAAAATACAGGCAAAACATTTGACTGTTTTAGAATACTCTGTTTCACTTAGTTTCCCTTTACAATAGAGCAAAATATTGGCAGATTTTTTTTTTAACATTTGTTGTAATTTTAACATTTTTTCGTGGGAGGAAAAAAAAAACAATCAGCAAAAACCGTCAGGAAGATATCTGGCTGCGCAAATGGGAGAGCTGCGCTGATGTGTGAGTGGTCACAGCCAACTTCAATTATGGCCAATCAAGCAGCTGCTTTCATTCCTATTATAGAAGCGCGCTAGAAGCGCATTGGAGTCTCGATATGGAGGACGTGAAGTCAGCACTTGGAGACTGCATCGCCCCCCCGCCATAGCTGGGCTGTCCAGTAAAATGATTTAACAAAAGCAATATGATGATTCAGTGCGTTTTCACATATTTATCAATTAAATACATCGCATTAGACCAGCTGTCTACTCTGCGCCGGTGTTTAACGTGGTCTGAGCAAGCGTAAATTTTAGATGGACTTTCTCTGACCAAATTGTCCTCTCCAAGACACTCTTCCTGCTACACCAGCTTGCAGGAGACCTGTCTGCCAAATTAGCAAAACCACACAGCGAGCCTTGCACTGATCGGAATATCTGGATCCGCCGGCATGTGCACCAGAGCGCAGATGTGCTGTCTACGAAAATAGGGCCCTTGGTGTAATACAATTCCTCTTCACGAGGAGAGAGAAATGGCACGCAAGTGTGACAGACAGACAGAAGCAAAGAGAACCACTACACATCAGCTACAACACTACATTGTCTGGACACACGTACTCACGTAACCAAATTCACAAGGGCAGCAATATTTCATGGCATAAGTAAAGCTTCATAACTTACCAACATTGTCAAAGCTAACATAAAACAAAACAGGGGAAGGGTTAAAAAAAAAAAAATCATCAACGACACTCGCACGAAATAGGCATGATCACCGGAAAAGCACACGTGAGGTGAAAACAGCAGCTGGAATGTTGAGAGAAGCGTAATACTCACTTACGATGATGATGAGCTTACACAAGCTATTTTTCCTGTGGCTCAGCTGTTACAGTTATTACGGCCGGAGGTGCGACCTTTTGGCTTTCGCTTTAAGACTGCTGACAAGGAGTTGAAGGTTTTGCCCTAACACTGACTGCTACTAGTGCTATAAGTAAAGTGTTGCATGTTAACTAGTAGAACTTTAGAATGCACTAATATAACTATTAGCATACCATTGTCACCTAGTGCACATCATTGCCACACCAGTAACATAATTGCTATACAAGTGTGCCCTCATCACTCTCCTAGTGTGCAGAAATGCCACACAGGAGTCAGAGGCAGTAGCGGAAAAAAATGTCACTCATTGTAACCTAGTCAGTGTGCTGAATTGTCTGACTAGTAAAGAAAAAGTACAGAGTAGTATTATGGACAATTCAGTGCACTAGTAGAATATCAAACTCTCAAATGACTTGTGCGGACAAAGAGTGTACTAGTGTAACCCTTGAGATGGTTATTGAAATGATGCTTAACCAGGTTTCCTGTGAGACCTGCAGACTCGAGCTAGAGCTAAGGACTGACACCTCCAAGCACGCGTTTTCCCGATTGCATACCCCTATTGGCATGCTGCTTGTAAGCAAAAATGATGCTTGTTGAATTCCTTCATCATATCACTACACAATGGATAAGAAGGGCGGGAGAGGTAGGTGTGCAAATAAGCCATCATGTACAAAACAAACAACACATCCGAAAGCACAGACTTCATGCCATCTGCATATGCACAATATAATCAATCAAAAGTGGATACGTCAACAACACATACAAACAGACAGTGCCATACCACCCAAAGAAAGGAACACTGATAAATAGTTCTAAGTCCCACAGATGAGTACACGTTAAAAAGTTGCATCAGATATAGCTACAAGTGCAACAATACAGCACAGTGGGCGCTAGAGCGGAATGTGGTTGATTAAAAAGACGTCAAAGTCACCTTGATCTCCGGTTAGAGAAAAAAAAAACAATGGCAGGGCTTTGCGGATGCGATGCAAACATTGACATATAAGAGGGCTGCTTTCCCCTCACAGCTTAAAGCAAACAAGAACATAGACAAGTTGGTTTGGTAAACAAAACAAACATTGGTGTTGATTTTGGATTTCATGATAAAAGTTTGTAGCAGGCTCTCTGGACCCTGCCAGTTAATTCAAGTTCAGAAAACATCCACTGAACGATTCTGTAAACAATCATTTAAAATCTGCTTTCCATGATAAGCGACTGTACTATTTACTCGCAAAGCCTATATATTCTCATGATACCAGAGTTACTCAGACCCTTCTTAGTTTTCAACTTCTGTAATTTCACTGCGCTGTGGACCCACCTTTCTTAAAGCAATGCGATTCTGGGATTGTGTGTGGGGGCTGTGCAGTGCACACTGCCTGCCCAAACTACACAACACAAAAGGAGCTTTGTGACAAGGTGAACAGTAGAGTTACTGTGGACGTATTGGATGGAATCTGATCTTCTTTACAAAAAAAAAAAAAACGTAAAACAGAGGTAATGAAAGTCTTCTTATGGTTCAAGGGTTGCGGCTTCTCATATGTGCTGGTCTCACATCGACACTTTCCCTGAACTACACTGCTTTAAAAAATGAAAAAGGGAACACATTCTAATCCCACATTAGGGATATCAACCTGCTAGCCATAACGATTGAGAATCAGTTTTCCCTGCTGTTGTGAAAATGGAACATTAGCTCAGTTTCGCATGCTTCCAGCACCCTCATCACAAGTACATGTATGAGGCCTTATCTGCAGCCCACACAAGTTGCTCAGGCAGTGCAGATCCTCCAGAACGACAAATGCATAATCACCATGGCCAGAAGGCATGCTGTGTAACCAGCATAGTCAAGAGTGTGGAGGAGATACCAGTAGACAAACAAATACACCTGTACACCATCATTGGTGTAGCACTGCCAAAAATATAAGCCAAGCACTCATGTGCTCATTGGGAGCGCATACACGCACGTGGAGAAGACCATAAACGTTACAGAGACACAAAACTCAGATGAGTCTGTGATCTAATGTGTAAAGTTTTACTTTTGTTTATGATTTGCGTTTCCAATAACAGTTTATCATGCTATTTTGTTGTCAAACAACTAGCGTGGAATCGGTTCCCACTCAGTGATTGTGTAAATTGTGAATGTGGGTGTGAATGGTTGTTTGTCTCTATACGTGTTATGCAACTGACTGGCGACCAGTTCAGGGTGTGGTCCGCCTTTCGCCCAAAGTCAGCAGGGATAGGATCCCGCAACCCTATTCAGGATGAGCAGTGTTTAAAATGGATGGATGGATATTTCATTGACCTAGTGTTCCCTTTATATTTTTTAGCAGTATGTTTTGAGACACCAGCATTGGGGAATATCCTGAATAGCATTGTTCGTAAAAATCTCCATATATGTGCTCATAATTAATGGTAGGTGCACTATTCTATTTTTCTTGTATGACTAGTTTGATTTGAAGAGGAGTGCCATTTTAAATAATCCGGTAAGGAGGAGCTTGCAAAACTGCAGCAACCAAGGGCAGTCAGCCTACCTTGAAATTTCAAGAATCAAAATATAAAACGACATATTTTGTCATTACAAATTCAACAACTTTCAAAACTCAAGCTGACGCTTGTGGCTTGATATCAGGATTGATATGCGCCGGCGCAGGCAGCAAACGGAGGCTCCCTCCTGCATGATTCGGACATTCAAGACAACAAATTTGAAACAAAATGCAGCACACCGTCATTAAAAATACAAACAGATAGGTCTGTAAGAATGAGATGACTCCTCACGCAGGTGGAGGTGTGATGTGATCTGGGTAGGAAAGGCAGACAAGGATGTGCTTCCTAGTTGTCCCTTTTAGGCAAGAAGCTGAGGATAAACTCGCCCACGCCCAAGAAGTAGACCACCTGGGCGATGCCGAAGAGAGGGGCAATCACCAAGGCTCGACAGTAGGCCCCCTTTAGAAAGGCTGATGGGCCTTCATTACGCAAGATTTTCCTGGAAAGCCCGTAATGACAAAGCATTATTCAAACTGGAGAGCAAGTTGTGTTGTGCAAGTGACGGCAGTAAAGACACAATGGGGTCACCTGATGCAGTCAGTCACTCCGCTGTATGTGTCCTCTGTGCTGCCCCGGTTCAAAGACTGAAGTCTTGTCTTTATGACTGCAACGCACAGAGTTCGGGTCAGAACATCAGGACGGCTGACATCGCATCAATAACGCTCACAGAATCGCCACTCACCGTCAACCGGGTTGACTGCGACGGCCGCCGTGCTCCCTGCTAAGCAGCCCGATATAAAGGACACGTAAAAAGGAGCGGTTCCTTCTGCACCCCGCTTTCCAAAGTTATTCAGGTTAGCAAAAAGAGGGAAGTAGATGATGGAGAATGGAACGTCCCTGGGTCACAGAAGACAATTTGAAATGCTTAGCATTACTAAAACTTATACCGCTGTGCCAGCTTGGTTTTACCTGAGCAACGTGGCGCCAAGGCCCTTGTATAATCCAGCAATTCCCTTTTCCCTCAGTAATTGCCTGGTGAGCTGCATTGCAGTTGGCGACTTGGGTTCCACGGTGCCAGCTGGCACCAACTCCGGCATCAGCTTCCTCTGCGCCGCTAAGCAGCACAAGAAATAATTATAAGAGAAGACCATTGTAAGAGGAAAAATCTGGTTAGAATTATTTGTGGGTTCCTTCGGTTCATATTAAAGGGGAAATCACTTTTCTCGACGAGTCTTGGCACGTCAGTGATGAAGTTATGTGAAGGTTTTTGTCAGATCCGATTCGGAATACGAGACAGAGGTCTGGCGTCCCTTTTTAAAACAATATCTGGAACTAATTGAAAGTGCAACTTCTTCAGTATATACCTGAAAATCGCCTGGATTTTCTCCGTATTCGTAAAACAAATGCATCGGCAAATTTCATCATCACGATGTGTTTGATCTGTTCATGGTACACAGCGTTAGCTAAGTTGAAAGGAACTTCAAGCTGTACTTTGAATCTGTAATGTCGGAATGGATGAGGGGTGATACATGACACCGATACATGACAGAATCATGCTAAACATACGAATTGGACTGTAAGTATTTTTTTCAATAATAGAATTTTAGAATTCTCTCAGCAGCAATGTTGTTAATTTGCACTTACTGACAATTTTTTTATAAATCCGTAGCTCAATTGTCTTCGATGGGCTTGGAGGTACTCAATTCAACTCATCTACATTTATATAGCATTTCTACAACAGCTGCAGTTGTAACCGATAAGACCAAACAACAGCCCACCTCAATCCCCACTGGTCGATCTGTAATGATGTTATCTGTAATGAAGTGTTATTTTGTTTAAATATATGTACCGTTTCTTGGCTAGCTAAATAATCAAATGCAATAAATGCAATAACAACCACCCCCGGGCATTTCTAGAAAAAAAGATGAACCTTGGATTTCACTCAGTTAAACACTATGAAAGAGTTATGTGGTATTTAAATATTCATCCACTTCCCGATGTTTCTTCTCATTAGGGATGCAGGTGAGCAGCAGCCTATCCAAGTTGACTTTGGGCAAGAGGCGGGGTTCACCCGCTTCCTCTCACCTTCCCAAAACATCCATGGTAGGTTCATAGAAAACTCTAAAATGTCCATATATGTGAAAGTAAATAGGAACAGTTGCTTTTGCAGTCTGACTGGCTGGCGACCAGTCCAAGATTTACCCTGTGTCTCACCAAAAGTCAGCTGGGATAGGCTTCACCTCACTCAGAACCTAATGAAGATAGGCACTAAAGAAAATGGATGAGTGAATGGCTGGGTTTTTACTATTACTATAATGAGAATAATTTAACAAGTTAGTTTTGTTTTGTTTTTTTTTCAAAAATATTTTTTGGGGGTACATTTTTCAACATGGATGCAAGTTGCAGTCTCCTTAAAAGACCACAAGGGGACACTATTTCTCCAAATTGTGCACCAACGCCACCCGCGGTGAACAGTTTGATTTCTACCTCTTACCAATACGTCCAGCATCTTGGAGCTGAATTTTCAACATCTCCATAGGAGTGGTGACAATAACCTATAACGAAATACAGTTTACATGTTAAAAGTACAGTATATATATTTTTAAAACAAAATGTGATTCTAATCATGGCTATGAACCTAATTATCCAACACTGTAGTGTACTTTTCATTCACATTTTAATTTAACCGAAGCTAAATTGTTTTACTTGTCATCCAAAAAGGAGTAACCAGTTAAGTGGATTAAGAGTGAGATGGTCATGTTAGCAGCTACAATCTTAAACCAAGGTTAGCTACATTTAATCTAATCATGTTCTTTAGGGGGAGCTTGAAGCCTTTGCCCTCATTGACAATAAGCATTTGCTTTGGAGTCACTCAGTGGACATAGCCAAGCAAAACAGAACTCACATATCATCTGCAAACAACATTTCACATTACGGTCCCAAGAAAAACCTTCAAATTCAGTTACATATGGTGTTGAGTAATTGCTGCTGTAGGCACAGACAAACGAGGGAGAGAGTTGGTGATCTACAGACCCCGGCAGCGCTCAAGGCGGCAGCAGTTCCAGATGGAAAACAGCAGGATGCTATTCAAGCGCCACCTCAATTACTCACCTGGCAAGTGCCTGCGCCGCACCCAGCCAGCATCTCTTTGAGCAAGGTGAGCTTTCTGGGGAAACAATAAGCAAATAAATACAAAAGTGAAATGAGATTTAAGGCAAGAGTCAATGTAAGATTTATTTATGTAGTTGAAAACAGATTTTCCACCACCTGTGAATCTTTGTCTGCCATTTCAACGGGCCAGACACACAGGAGGATAAATAATTGACAAGCTGCTGGGTCAGTCAAGTCAATCATTCATCAGCCTGAATGTATGTTACAGGGAAGGAGACGCAGTGTTATCTCATGAGGGACAGGGGCACATAACTGCTAGTTAATATGATATGTGGAGTTGTAAATAGGATTATAGATTGGATTACTGCTGTCTTGTATACAAGTAACTCTACACCTAAACTGCTGCCATGCAATGTTTGGCACGAACCTTGCCTGCAAGCTGAATTCTCATGGTATTTGTGAGTTCACAAAAACCCAGAGAATCCATTGTATTCCAAGCCCACTGATTTTCTCCGAGCAGCACCAGTGGAGGGGGTGGACCAATCACAAAGTAACAGCGTGTTTGGGGGCGGGATAAGTGGCTGTGATGAAAACAAGAAGCGCCGAGGTCGAGAGAAAAATCAAACAATCCGAAAATGGCGCGACACCAATGGACGAATGCGTGGAAGGCTGCAATTAATTAATGAATTGATTGATTGATTAATTAATTGATTACACCTTTTACTCACATATTTACATTGCAAAAACGACAACTGTCACTCAATGCCATGATGCCATCCGTGCCAATCATCGCGATAACAGGGGACAGCTGGTCAAAGCAAGGCGTATGCCGGTGACAATGTCATCGTCCGTTGCCGTGATTGGTCATAACAAAATTTTGATAAGCGTGCACAAGTTGCCCCCTCGCCCAATCAGCTCAAAGTATTGTCCTGAATGTCCCGCCTTTCCCGAGCAGATCACATTGGAGCAGTACTGGACTGACACTATGAAGAACTCCTTTGAGTGATTCATGTATCAATCGGGGTCTTGTCAGGTTAGTTTGGGACCTCAGTGATGGAACACGGGCAGCGGATGTGTCACGTTACATGTTAGCAAAGGCGATAATCACTTTGTGAATGAGAAACAGCCTGGAAACGCGTTAATCTCTCACCCATCCTTGGAGAGGTGATGCCTGAAGAAGTCATTGGCAGCCAATTTGATGGCTTTTTCCGGCGTGACAAGTGTCAAGTTCACCGCCGCTCCTGGGGAGGAAGAAGTAACAAAGCATAAATGACTGAATAGGAAGAAAGAAGGAAAGGAAGTAATGGGAGAAAAATATATTGTTTTTCCAAATTCAGCGGAACCTCGAAATTTAAATTCCCCTAATGTTGTACAAGTAGGATTTCAGACATACTTTTCAGGAAAAAAAAAAGAATGTAAAAATGAATACTAATTGGCTTTCACTTGTTCAGGTGCATCTCAATAAATTGTTATCTTTTTTTAAAAAAGTTTATTTATTTCAGAATTTCAATTAAAAAAGTGAATGGTCTGACCCTTGCATATACAACCAAGTCGCTGTATAGAAAAAAAAAATCATCTTATAAAGAAATTGCGTTTCGAGGCGTCACATATACTCTACTGCGTTAACTGTTATGGCGTGATTGTTGAGGAAGAAGTGGATTGCCCAGGCTGCTGTAGATATAAAATAATCATACAAAGAGAGGAAGCGGGCAAGAGGGCAAGACTTTAACCCTTTCATGCACCCTGTAACCTGATAACATGACAAGGTGTCCACTGTAGTAACTGCTGTCCCTGAAAGGGTTAAGGGGAGACTATGTATATTTGAGAGACTCTGATCACCCCACCTATCATTGACTGCTCATGTGTATTTCAGTGAAACAGACTCTCCACGCTTTCCTTTTTTTGCCACAGGTACGTATGTCATGATAAATATAACTAATGTTGCTGTAAACTACATCATGTAAACTTTATTGTTACTACTTGGCAGCCGGCTGAATCTGGCTTCATAATTTTTATTGTGGAAGCTCATGTCAGAGGACACAGCATTTTTGATTACCCCATTACATGTCCATCACACTTCACAACCGAGTCACTCGATGTGTGACACATCAGAAACATTGACTTCTACCAAATTGCTATATTGTATTTAAAAGATATAGATTTTGCAAAATTGAAAACTATCATCGTCAAAATGAAAAAATAGAATCACGAAATATTTTAGTTGCTGTGCAGTGAGTCTATAAAGTATATAAAACAGGGGTTTAACTTTTTTAATTGAACTACTGAAATAAATGACATTTTCTGCAATATTTTAAGACTTGGAGATGCACATATATAGCACTTTTCTACCTTTCAAGGTACTCAGAGCGCTGTCTCCTCATTCACCTACTGATGACACAGGATCAGGTGCAACACGGGGGTTCGGTATCTTGTTCTAGGACACTTCCACACGGTGTCACGGGAGGACTGAGGATTGAACGTGCAACCTTTGATTGGGAGAGGACCACTTAACCACGTGAGCCATGGTTCTAAAGTTTCACAAAATGTCAGCATATTGCGAAACCTCAGCGTACTTCATGAAACACTGAGTGGTACTGTTTTAAGATTTGAATAATCCCAGGTACACCTATGTTTACACTTGTATGATCGTTAAAAAAAGGTGACTTCAAACATTGGCCTGTACAGTGGGATTCTCGTTAAGATAAGCCATTTTAAACTAAAAAGAAAAAAATCAACATAGTTATTAAACAGGTGTTTGGGGAGGCAGAATGTGCTCCGCTCACATTAATTTCTATGCTATAATCAGCAGCTTGTGCTTCAACTGGTTTGTTGTACTGCCTGATGCACTTGGCTCTGGTACTCCACTTTATGGGATACTCGAAATAACCGAACGGCACATATGAACACCATGCTGAGATTCAGAACTGTCCGAGTCAAGCAGTGCATTCGGAGTGTATTTCCGAATGCAACCACAATGAGACAACGGGGATTTTGGGGGTGATGAGCTCAAATATTCATGGTCTCGTTGTTTTGTAAAACAAATCCCGAAAACGGACGCATGGGATAAGTGATGCTAAATAAGAACTAATGAGAGGTTTTGACCAGCATTTCGGAATGGATTACGTTTGACCTCGGAGGTTCCACTGTTATTATCTTCCCTCGTCAGTAGATTTCATGTCCTTTGACTCTTGCTTTTCTAAATCTTATCTCATTTTTCCTAAACTTCCAAACTCACCTCTGTACATCCCAAAGTAGCCCTCTGACCGGATGGTCTTGATAAGGCAGTCTGACCTAAAATATATTGAACAAAAAAAAACAAAAACAACAGACGAGGAATGTTACACAAAAAGGCTGATGTCAGGTCTTCTGTGTAAAGATAAGACATACATGCTGGTGTAAAGGCGAGATCCATTTTGCTGGTTTTGCAAGCGAGTCTTGGCCAAGTCGATGGGAAACACGCAAGTGACTCCAATTAGCCCAGCGACACCCCCATTGATCAATTTGGCAGGCAAACTAGAAGAAACAAAAGCATGAATGAGCGAGATAAAAACAAAGGCCAAAGTGCTGCTGCAGTTCTGGCACAACCTTACCTGATCTGCTTGTCAGCCATTTATATGAAGCCCTGGCTCCTCACTGTTGTGTCAACGTGTCTGTTAAATGTGAGCGGTGGCAGCAGTCGTAATATAAATGAGGTTGTTTGTTACAGAAGGCTCTTGCAGTCAAGTGTGATTATAGATTCCAAAGGATGATTTTTATTCTGCTTTGTCTTCTTGCTGTCGGTCAAGATGGGGGAGATCTGAAACAAAATGCGGAGATTTCACTCAAGTAAATGGTGCATTTGGAAGGTTTGAAAAAGTGGTATATTCATGCTGATCACAAAGATAGGATGATTCCACTTCTGCACTAATGTAAACCCCAACTACAAGAATCCAAAATATACAGGGTGTTCCCATAATAACGTGCATTATTTGTTCCTCAAACCATCTCAAATTTGACAAAAGAAATGTGTAAAAATTATAATTCATGTTCAAATTAAGTTTAGGCTTAGTATTAGTTGAATGTTTTACTTTTTCTTTTTACGGGGTGACATTGATCTTCACCAGAAAAGAAAAGGCATTTTGGGTGTGGGAATGTGCTCAAACACAATCAAATAAGACTGCGTTACAATGGAAATTCAATTTTTAAAAAAAAAAACGGCAACTGGAAAGCAGATTTGGACATGGGACAAAAAAATTCAAGGTATGAAAAAAAGAAAATGTGTGTCGTGTCACAGCATGTTGAACATTTGTGAAGCTTGGTGAAATCAGTTTCAAAATCTATATCCGTCGGAATAAGTGGCAGAATTTTGATAATATCTTCTTTTTAATTTTAATTTCATTTGCCTTGGACATGTTGTCACTCAAATATTTCAAAGCACTCGCTATTATCATCATTATGGAAGATCTTGACATAGCGTATTAAATTGTGCTCAAATTAAAAGCCTTATTATTAACAAACATCAACTTAATTTGTTTTGACTGCAAATAATTGTTTTAGAATAAATTTTTTTCAAGACAATGTTCTTGACAAACAAACACGAGAGAATATAATGAGACACTGATTTTGCCATGTTAAAGATTAGCGTACGTTTTGAATTCTGTCAGCCTGTGGCTCAGTCCCACATGACCTTCATGTTTTATGCACACACGACAGAGGACGCCATCTTGTTGTCTAAACAACCATTTTTAGCCAACACATGAAACAGGCCTAGTGTTGCCAGGATGTTCCCTATTTTTGACACTGAGCTTCACTATTTGAAGATGCTTCCTCTTCCCTCTCTCAATTCCCCCACCCCCTGCTTCCACCAATCACGGGCTAACTCTGCAGGAGACCCAAGCCCGCCTCTCACTAGGAATGCACCTCAGTCACGAGTCACGACTCTCAGCTTTTGCGAATCATAACACTGCTGAGTGGTGGGTTTCTTTGTGTACACTCCACATGAGCATCATAAGGCGGTCACACTCTGCTTGTAGAGATTGCACAACGAGTAAGGATGTTTCTATTGCAAATAAGATGAGGGCAGATGCAGTCTGGTGTGTTTTATTTGGAGAGCTGAAAGCACGCCCAGCCCTGCTGGCCCCCCTCCCACCCTGGGCTCCTCCACAGGTGGAGAAAGGACTATGTGTGTACGTGGAGTCATAGGAGGGGAAACTGCCTCTGTCAACTTTTGACAAAGTGTTTTTACTCAGTAAGTAACAAGCTACAGTCATGTTTTTAACATTGGACATATTTGAGAAGAAGAAAAACCAACACACTTGTAATGCGTTGGTAGTGACTGACATAACCAGCCTCACACTGGAAATGCAAACGTGAAAATGTCATCAGTGTTTTCCTGTGACCTTCACATTTGTGCTACGTTGTGGTATGTTTGGAGAAGAACACAGCGCTTTTTCATAGGATGAACCACGTGATACTTCTGTTTGTTTGTTTATAGGCAACTCCATCCAGCACGATTAGGTAGAGTTGCACACTATAATGCAATCCAGTATAAGTTATGCCTTCCCAAAAAATAACGCTCACTTGTTAATACATTTTATTTATTATTGTCTGACCTGGCAAAAACATCTGTCGACAATTTGTTTGAGAAATATTTCCAATATTTTGTACCTCTCATCTAACTATTGAATCGGGAAAAATCATGCGACCATTTCAAAACGGTTAGCATGTTATTACTGCTTCAAATTACAAAGTATAAGTACGGTTATTATGGTTAATACCATATTCTGAGAGTAAACAGCTCTCGTGCTGTTTTGTCCCTGTACAAAGTCAATCAAGCAAATTGAATGCCAGCATTGCGGCTAATACGACAAACAAGCGTGAATGATATTTTACCACAATGCTTGAAATTACTTTCAGTCACATATCTTCAGGTGGCGTGTCAACATTATTTCTGCCAACTATTTGCTGATGTGTTCCAGTCCGACTTGAAGAACAATTTGGGCAAAGACCAGTTTTGCCCCATTTTCTATGTTAATTGTAGACCCTTTATTTGCTTTTGAATGACTAATCCGGACAGTTGTTTACATTCTTGTGGCCAACATCAAACGAGAATAATGTCGTATTTGAGCATCTATAGGAAGCACGCTGCGGCTGTTGCCCGATTAAATTTTGACATGGGGCATTCGTGTCTGAAAGCTGGCATTAGCACACACAAGCTACCGTGTGTGTTTGCTGTAATGTGATGTCCTGTTTGGTACACTAATTTATTGTAGGGTATTCTGTGGAGCAGCGAACTGACGGTTATTAATGACTAAAACACCATTTTTGTACGCCAGTGGTTGACATTAAACACACGCTAGCTCCCAGTCACTCGTGACCAAGCACAGATGTTGCATTTATAAACTCTGACATAGCATTATTCAAAGTGACAAAACATGACGTGGCAAACACACTGTGCCGTTTGCCACATTAATTGTTTTTCTCCAATTATGAAGTGTTTATGATTGTGAGAGGTCAAAATCAAAATCACGATTAAATTACGATTACTTGCCAAGTCCGAAGGTGAATTGTTCACCGACTGTATTTACGGAAACCAAAACATTAGAAACTCCTTTCAGTATGATGCACTGACACGCTAATCCTATCTACCACCATCATGAATAAATATTAAACCTTTTGTGTCTGCCGTCTAATAAAGCCCAAGCGGGATGACTGCACTCATTTCCATGTTATTCTCAATTTAGAGAAATCTACATAAACTGTACTATAAAAGTCTAACTAAGGTATTGTGGGTTGTACGCACTTCATTGAGTCATTTTTGCTATCCACACGGCCCAACTTGTCCAATGTAGCCCATCACCACACCATACCACGCTGTCGCAACTTTATTTGACCGACAGCCTGTTTGTCTGATTGTACTGTCGGGATAATCAAGAGTCTGTGACCAAAACAAGTGGCCTTAGTGTTCAGCGTCTGCACAGTGCCATCACTCGCCAACCAAATCCCAGAGGAATTCCTTTTTGGAAACAAACACAGGCTAGAATTACTTCCCACTGGACTCCACATAACAACAGCACATTTCAGTGTGGCTATGAATAAAAGTGCAGTTTCGGAATTGTGTTGTCATGCTCCCCTGTACCAGCCTGTTTGCACTGTGGCCAGATGGGGGCAAAGATCCACCATATGCAGAATTAAAAAAAGAGGGGGAAAAAAAAAGTCTGGTGTGTGCTAGTTGGCACCTAACTAGCAACGCACTCTATTACCACCTACAGGGCTGGAGGGGAATAGTATTATACTGCACATCATTTTACAGTCAACAAACATTTTAGGAATGTTGTGCCATGATGGGGATCATGAAAGGACTTAAACCCTGACACCAGCACACATATTTTAAAGGTTGCCCTCTTAGGCAGATAAGCACTGATAAGTAAACAATTAGTCAGAGTGATTGTGAAATTAGTCTCTGCTGCAGAACCTTGAACTCGGGCACTTTAAGCACCCATTGGACGCGTTCAATAAAACCGGTGAGTATGCCTGCCCACTGACTCTGGCAGATAACAACTCTTCCTCTAACCGTTGTTCATCATTTCAACAATGAGCCCATGAATCATTACTGCAGATGATTACATATTTCTCTTTTTCTCTTCATTTAAATATAGGCCGGAATGTTTGCAGGTATTCTCAGAAATTATTTCCAATGTCAGCTATTGTACCCAAACAGTAGTTGCTTTAAAAACATTGCCGATGAAGCTCTAAAATCTAATAGAATAAAATGACATGTTTTTTGAAAGGTTGTATAAATGTGCAAATTTCCCAAGTCAGTTGAAAATAAGAAGTATGTACATATAGAAGTGTCCTTCTTACAAAACCTAAAGTCACATTGAGCTTTCAATGGCGGCGCAGATAAGACGAGAATAAAGTGATGACACAGCATAGCAGGGACATTTGATTTGATCAGCTCTGACTCGCAAACAGGACAAAAATATCACTGTAATAGAAGTAAAAATCTGGAGCCAAATTTACCTCAGGTTACTTTACAGGGCAAATCGTTTCCACTCATTCAAATGAGAGTACCTTGTGCGTCACGCCTCCTTGGCTGCCTTTCAGTCCTCGTGGCAAACAGTGGAAGAGGACCCTCACTCATTGACAGTGTCACTTGGTAAATCATTACAGGAACTGGCCAAACACTGAGGCAGTCACGTGAGTGCTCCTTGACACAAAACCTCAGCAAAAGCAGCAAAAAAAAAAAAAACTACTGGTGCAGAGTGACCGCTTCTTACCAGTGACAGATATGTCAAAACTTACCGCAGAAAACGTGCGGCAGACTTCTTAAAAACTGTCAGAGATGTTTTTGTAATCGGCTGATAAAGCAACATTTTATAAAAGGACCTCATTGTGTCTATTTTCCAAATCACATCTGTGGACCTGATGTTTCTCATTAACAAGTAGAGCAGAATCTCGCACAGAGTGTTGAACTGTCATGAGCACAGCTCGTGAGAGTTCAAACCATGAAACGAATAAATCAAAAGTTTAGCTTTCTCTTTTGACGTCACGCAAGAGAGAAAATAATGTTATTATTTAGTCATGGAATTGTCTTTATAAAAAAAATCACATGCTTCTGGCCCAAGTTCCCTTCCACTAAAAAGCGCGTGATAAATAACCACAGGTGTGATGCCCCTGCAGTATCATGTTAAAGCCAAAAGGTGATCAGAGCTGGATTGAGTTTTGCTGGATGCACAGATTATCGTTAGCTAAAAATCATTCGTTTCTGAAAGGTGGCAGTTACTTGATACTGTAGGTTGGTGGGGTTTTTTTTCCATGTGTCATTGTGGTTTAGGAGTAGGAGTACATTTTACAGCTCTCATCGAGCATTTATTTGCTGTAGCAGCTGGAAGTTGGTATGCTTGTTTTTGTGACGATTTGTGAAATGCTCTATTTTTGGACAGCACGGCGGAAACAAGGGATGAACTATGTGGTGTCACAGATAAATCTGATTACGATTCCCTCTTGCTTCCAGCATGAGGATTATAAACCAACTCATTGAAATCTCCCTTTGCAATTTCCCTCTCGGTGAGGTGGAGAGTTGTGAACTGGCCACAGCAACACATTCCTTGTATAGGTGATATGTGCTTGTTTGAGTCCACTGCAATGACTAAGAAACAACAACTTCATACATAGCAGTCTCTGCAAGGACACGGTGTTGAGTTTAGTCTCTCTCCTGACAGCACACATACAGTGTCCCTTGTGGCCTTTTGACTTGCCTGCCTCTATTCTTCCCTACAGCATGGATATAGAATAACAAAATGATTGTGAGTGAGCCCGCCTCACGAAAAACAAAAAAGCACAATAGGCAGCGCTGAAGCATCTGGTTTCACTTTAGAGACATGAGTAAAAACCTTGAATGACCTCAATGACTTTCACATAGCAAGAGCAAAGCACGGCAAGCCATTTCAAACATGTACTATAAAATTGACATTCAAAGTCCTTCCCTGGAGGATTTGAGCATGCGCGCGAGGGCTGTTGCGTAGAGATTAAACGGAGGAAAATGTGCAACAGAGGACAAATGTTGCATAAAACTTCCTCACAGGATGCACAGGATGTCACCCTACACCAAGAATGGTCTGACTCATCAATAATTTCATGGCTGCAGGAATGTTCTGCAGGGCCAGCAAGCCTCGTTATAAACCATAAGCCAAGACTGGTGGTGAGGCTACGTTGTTGGCCAACTAAAACCAACATTTATTGTTAAGTCTCTCCCACTGGCGTGACCTCTCGAGTCAAGAGATTATGCAACCGAATTTAGTTAAACTTTATCAGGAGGGTAGTTTTGAGTACAGTCCGCAGAACCCCCAGGAATGACCCATCAGAATTAACAGTGACAAAATGACAGCATCAGTGAGAAAATATGAGGAGGGGGAGCTCACAATCCACTACTAGCAAGCTCCCTTCCCACTCACATCACACAACAGCGCCGCTGTTGAGGCGCGGAAGCCGGAAAAAAAAAATACGACCGCGGTGACCCGGTACTTATGTCAAGGAAATACAGTACAGTACTACAGTTGAACATTGAAACGCATTTATCACAAAGCGGATTTCAAAAATTGCCCCATTGTATTCCGAATTGCTCGTATGTGGAATAGATAGTAATAACGCATCAGAACCGTTCCGACGTACGATTTTCCTCCTCCTCACGCTACTTTTTTTTTAAATGACAGTCAAATAACGGCGAGCTTGTATCGCTTCCTATAGCAGACGCAAGGCTCTCCGGGTCTCGCGAAGCTGAGCTAGCGCTCTCGCGTCGAGCGTTTGTACATTTCTCCGTCCTATGACGCAGTCGTGTCATTTTTTTTCCCCTATACGTGAAATATACGCATGTCGATTCGAAGCATCGTGGGAGGAGTGCGCCTCAGACCGCCGCCACATAGACAAAATAAGACGGCATTGAGTACATACCACAAATATCTGCTCCCGTTAACCCCTCTTTCTCCGATGTGAATTCAAAGCCTTCCACGCTGCGAACGCCGGTCTTGCTAGCATCTGAGTGCCGGGAAGGGAGGACGAGGAGGTGGGAGTAAGGTAGGGATGGATAGGAAGGTAAGGGGAGGGGGAGAAGCTGACAGTAACTGGGGATGACTTGAATTGAAAAAAAGGAAAGTGGATATTAAAAAAAGGGGTCCTCTAGTGGTTCTATTGTGAAAGTACACACATTTTGTGAGTACAGTAAATGAGAAAAAGGTGTAGACTGGGGGATGGGAAAAGAGTGACCTTGAAAAGCAGTGCAGAAAAGTACATCAATAAATATGACAGTTAACGTTCATAAGAAAAAAAAAGATCTTTAGAGGCTCCATGCCATCAAAATCCACATTTTTCACCGTTTTCTGCATAACAGACAAAATTATTCTGTTACATGGTTTAACGTCTATGCAGTTTGTCGATTGCATGCAATAGTCAATAAAAGGTGAGACGGACGCGTGGAACAGATTTTCGGCATTGATAGGCTATTTAATCAAGTACAGTACCTGCTCTCTTTGTGGTTGCAACACGGCCAATCAAGCCAAGTGAAATGGTTGAAAGTCCGAATTTACTGTACATCTGATGGAAAGCTAAACCTTTGCATCATCTGCTAATCTCTGAGGAGTTGTTACCTTTAATTTATTTTGGGGGAACATTTCCTAAGAATTTTGGAAACAGAATTGTGCAATTTCTGGGCACATTTAGAGGAGGATATCTTCATGAACGTACGTTTTCACACATGCTAAAAATACTTTTTCACATTTGAAGCGGGCAAGACACAACCCACCACTGCCATGCCATGTAAATTCATGAAGTATACATATACTGTTTTACAACAAAACTTAACCATATTTTGAATTGAATAGGCATCTAGGGGAAAAAACAGTCACTGTCGCCAACATGTACAAAAGCAATGTTTGTACTTTGTAGGTGCCGGTTACATTCAAGTGAATGGGAGTGAATTATTATAACTCTATCATTTTATGGTTTATCAGATGTGATAAAAAGTACAATACTGTATGGGCAGCCTCAAAACCCTAAACAGGCTCGTGGTTCACATATCAAACAGCTCAATGCGTGGACGTGAAGGTGAGTTCTGCGACACGATGATAGTAAATCTCAACATGGCCACCAAAGGACGCCGAGATATCACCAACTATCAATCAGAGGAAAGCTGTTTTCCATATTCAAATTAGGGAGAACTGCATTCCAGTCAGAGCAAAGCCTACTAAATACTGTGTTGAATATTAAGGCCGTATCTGGTAGGCATTTTTTACCATCTAGAATAGCTTGAAATATAGACAACCAACCATTCACACCCACAATATCACCTATGGACCATTTAGAATCTTCACTGAGTTTACCATGCATATTTTTAGGTTCACAGGGATAGCATGCAAACTCCACACGGGAAGTTACGAGTACAGACTCTAACTCCAACTCTCAGAACTCTGACATGCTACCCATTGTAATTTTAAGAACTTGTTTTTTTCTCCCCCTATGATCCCTAGAGAGATTATTCCTTTGTTTTATATGTGGCAGCATGGTGGGAAACACGTACTGTATATGCATGGCAGGTTAATTCAAGATTGTAAATGGTCAGCTGGTATAGGGTCTAACTCAGCCGTGACTAATGAGATCAGAAAAAAATTGTGTAATGCACAAAAATGTGTAATGCACAAAAATGTCATATTGCAGATGTATGCAAAGAGATGCAAAAAATCAAGATTTAAAATATATTTAGCTCTAATATGCAAACACACGGGTAGGGCTGTGGCCTTGCGGTAGGTGAATGCCGCTCTGATTTAAAAAAATTAAATCATTGAAATCAAAACTGCACACAAAGTCGTTTTACAAAGAAACACAATATGAATGCTGAGAAATGTTTTTAACGAGCCATCATACACCACATCACACATGTCTGATTTATATATCATTCATTGCAGTGTAAAAAGACAAACAAATTGAATCAATTGGAATCTGATATTCTCAGATTAGAATAGGTCCTCTTCCAAGTGTGGATAAAAATACGAGATGTATCCATTCCCTGCCAATGTGAGTTCAGTGTAAACGCACAAACAGGATACATACTCAATGCAAGCTTGATATAATTGATTTACACCAACTGCTGACATTTTAAAAAAATGACAAAAATAAACACAATGAAAAAACACATACTGTACAAAACTACAGGGAAAGCATATACAATTAAATATGGACTAAGTATGGTTATGCTACATTAGAGGTGTGTGTCGATTATGAAATAAGCAAAATAAAAGCACACAGTAGCTAGCGGAGTAATGTGAAAGTTACCCTCATGTGATTAATGGGAGAAAAAGTCAGCCCCTGCCAACTAAACGGGATGTGACATTTAATTAATATTTTTACAATAGCAGTGCTCATTCACACAATGAAAACGATGGAAATTCATAATTTCAAAACTAGCAGTCTGTTGCGTAAGCAGCAGACAGCTGAAGAGATTTTCGTGACAAGTTCATGCTCTGTACGCGAGTCAAAGCTGTGAAAACCTCAACAGCTGTTAGTGTTTGCTCAGCTGCTTAATCTTATCCTGACAGGTCTAATTGAAACCTATGGGGTTCAATACGGGCCAGTCAAATTCAAAGGTTCGATGACATAATTGAAACGTCTTTCAGTTAATGCATTTCTTTTTTAAGTAGACTGTTGTAGCGTTAGATAAAAAGGATGTAACCAGCAGGTAGTATACATTCTGTGCATACTATGGTTTTGTAAAGTAGGACGAACAAAGAGGAACGCCACCTGCACCCAGTGAGGAATTCTCTACTGGTGGCTTTCACAGAGGGGCTGTCCCTCCGCCTCCAGGCCTACTCTCCTCAGTGACTCCGTGTATTTTTGCTTTCCCAGACTGACTATGTCTTCCAGCTCATCTGCAAGGTCCCTCCTGCCACTTTCAATCATGGCGGCCGTCAATCGTGACACCGCCCCAGGCCCGGCGCTTTTCTGTCCTTGGGCCCAGTGGAAGAGCATGTCCAGCACCAGAGCTCCAAGATTGTCCCTGGTGAGAAGAGCAGAATGTCACAATGACATTTCACCTCACTAGTTTATGACTGTAGTGAACCCCAACACTTAAAGAAGCGACACAGCCAGAAGTGGTAGTGCATTGTGATATTAGCCACCAATTGCCCATGAAATGTGTGTGTGATGAAAAGTATAGCGTTGGAAAGGGCTTCAGGCCCATCTAAATTAGAACACTGCAACATGAATGTACCCTATTAATCATTTTATGGCCCATGATTTACAGCTTGTGCTGAATGATTTTGTACATATAGAGCATGCTAATTACCTAGTATATGCCAAGACAGCAAATGCATCCAAAACAACCATGAAAATAACACCCAAAAGGGATTCTTAAATCCACCTAATATGTTGCGATTGGCTGGTAACCAGTTCAGGATGTACCCCGCCTACTGCCCAAAGTCAGCTGGCATAGGTCCCAGCACGCCGGCGACCCTCATGAGGATAAAGTGGTTCTGATAATGGATGGATGGATGGATGAAAATAACATCAACCACCATGAAAGCCATCATATCAAAGCTGTTCGTTTTGCTTGTACGCCTGCAGGATGTGTCATGCGAGCATGAGGAGCAAGCTGGGGGGGGGGGTCATCAGACTGTGTGCGTAATCTCCTGCAATGTCCCAGATGGCTCAGCAGCATCTAACAGCGCAGATTAAAACAATCACATTTCTCTCCCACTGCAGTCATGTTCTATCTCACTCTGCACTAGCACGCAGACATCAGCATTGTGTCTTCTACATATTAATAAGATATGCTTTAAAAGATGTCTATGTGTATGACTTTATCGTCTCCATAGTTTTCAACATGAAGAGGCTTAGATAAGGGTGACAATACATTTCAACTTTAGATTCAATTTACCTCGTTAGTTGAGATGTAGTAATTCTTGATGTGCCTCCGTGACAACTGTATATTTTGTATTCCCTTTATACTTGATTTTTTTTTGATAAAACACAATAAAGAGGTCATAGTTAGCAATTCAGGAAAATAAACCCAAACCAGTCAAAACATGTGTATCTCCACTCCGATTGGATTCACAGTGCAGAACCTTTGCTTGTTTGCAACTACAAACCTGTATTTGTATTGGATGCGGTCTAACTCCTGGTAGCTTAAACCGAGATTGATGCCAATAACGCGCCAATCCTGTCCAATCTGGAGAGAGATGGACAGCAGATTGGCTTCTGTCAGGTAGCCACTCTCAGGGTCTCCGAGGTTCAGGGGAGGAAGCTGGAGCTCTTCCGGTATGTACTTGTTGTCAGCATCTAATGCCTAACAAAACAGCAGAAAGACAATGATATGCTTGTGTGTGCGTGTGTGTGAATTTAAAATATGTTTTCAACTGACAGGAAGTCTTAGTGGTAAAGTTGCAAGCCATTGGCTGTCATGTCCTTTTCTCTTCCTCACTACTTCCTCTGGCAAACCACTGGGAATGTCCCCTCTGTAAAAAGAGACCTGAAAAAGACGTATCAAAGATACACTTTCAGCGTGATATTTGTACAGTGTCTTCATCATCGCAACACAATGTAAATGGAAAGGGAATCTTAAAATACAAGGTGCATTAATCCAGGGGTAGCATGTGAACAAGCAGGTGATAGAAGAGCGAAAAATAAAAGATCTTTTGGGACTGGAAACAAGCTTTCAGAACATTCTTATTTTGTACATTTTCAGCCACTGTGGTTACTTAAGAAAACTATCTTACTTCTCCTCTCACTGGAGCCCGGAGGCCCTTTGCAGGAGAGATGTAAACTTCCTTCAGATTCTTCAGGTTGGAGTAAAACACAAAACACAGTCTTCCCCCGACACAGTCTGGTCTGTCTAGTGAGGGCAGGAAACCAACATCTCAACACTGCTTGAAAAGCCACGACAAGCCAATTATATCACAATCGCACACCCTAAAACTTGAAAACCTGAGCTGTGAAAATATTGACCCGTGATCAAGTTAATAAAATCGCACTTCTGACCTGTGCAGATATCCAAGCCTCTCTCAAAGCCGGCAAAGAACTGTTCTCCTTCCAGAAGGTCACATAGATCTGAAGGCTGGGGTCCATCGTACTGCTCTGACAGTGACTGCACTCTGTCTTCCACCTGGGAAGGAGCCATTACAAAAACCCGAGATAAAATATGAAACACATTTTAGAGAAATGGTCTTTTCCACACACACGCTGTCTCCGCGTGTCGTGATTTCTTTTCACCATTTGTTTTGTTTTCATTCGCAATTAGGGGAAATTAACAAAAGCGCAGCAGTGTCCATTGTCCTGTAATCCAATACCAAGCGAATACCAGCACAAACACCAACCTTGTTAGCTGGTAAACACTGCAGCAGGACTTGAGAAGGGTCCGTTTTCCGCTGGAGAACCATGAACTGGACTTTAAACTGCTTCAGCCTTTGGTAGACCTTTCTTACCATGCCACTAACACAACTCTGAGTCTTGTACCACAGCCAGTACCTATGATCAAATACAGAACACAAAGCTGTAATGCTAAAATGTTTTATATATAGGCATCTTGAGAATACGTACACAAGATACTTACCAGGAGAAATGTGTGATGTAGAAAATGGCATACAAGTGGGTGACATAGAGAGACACTTGTGAGGTGATGTCTGTCCAGGTTTGGGCAGTGGGGTCTCCATGCAGCAGATACAAACACGACTTATCAACAGTGTGACCTGCAAATAGACCCAACATCAATAGTAAAACAAAATACTTTAGAAAGATATAGAATTTTTACCTGGGTTCAAGTGCACAGAAGGTAACAAGGGAAAAATATGTTCTAAGATCTGATCTTCTTTGCAATGTTTTGAGTTGTCTTTTTTCTTTTTTGTATATACCTGTACACATATACAATACTTATAGGGATTCTCAACGAATGTTTTAGGGAACATTGTTGGAGGAATACACAAGCCATCTTTGACAAATCCATATAGGAATATATATTTTTTTAAATCATGCCTGGAGATTGTACACAAAATAAGAATTTTTTAAAACCTTCTAAATTACGCAATCTAATGATGCGGGCAGATGGTACCTGTAACCCCTGGTGGCAGAGGGACTTGAACTTTGACTGGCTGTAGGAAATGCATGCTGGGAGTTTGTGAGAGACAGAGGAGAGGACTGACACTCGCTTGTGGATCAGCACACAGCGCCTGAACCTCTGACACTGACACCTGGAGCACCTACGACAGAGGAACACTCCAGAGGTTTAAAAAGTATTCGCAGTGCTTCACTTTTTCCACATTACGTTATGTTACAACCTTATTCCAAGGAAAATGATATGGTTACAAAAAGAGCCAAGGGTACAATGTCAAATGTGGATAGACCTCACATCTGTTGAATTAACTACATTAAACAAACAAAGTGTAGAGCGAATCCTGGGACACCCTGTCTGTATGTCTTGCAGATGCGCGTACAGTAAATAATACATAATTCTGTGACTACCTGTAAAGTTATAGTGCGAGTTTGACTGGTGGAGTCTGGAGGGAAGATAAGCTTGACTCTAGGGTCAGCGCTGGACACTAGAAAGGCTCCTGCTGGTGAAACTGAGCAGCTGTCTCTCACTGGACGGGCGACCACAATAAACCATGAAAACTGGCTCACGGAACAGCAGGCCAGCTACAGAGAAGCAACACGGTGACTATTACTGATGTGACTGCAATATTTGCTTCAAATATGATGTTAACCGTATGTGATATTGATTTACCCTGGTTGGACGCCCCAAGAAGTGAATGCTGTGCTTCTCACGTCCTTTTCTGACAGAAGTAGGTAAAGTGTTCCATGAAGTTCCATCATACTTCCGTACCACCGCCTCCTTCCATTTTTTGCGGTGATGTGCCATACATACCTCGACTGGCTGCAAGGAGAGTTTTGTCTTTACGGCAGGCATTTTTTAAAGCAAGCAAACGCTATTCAATATGCAGCACCTTAAGAAATGTAATGCCATGAGGACGAAGTTCCAGTGGGCGACTGAGGAGAATGTCATGCTCCTCGAGCAACACCCACTTTCGCTGAGGTCTCCTCTCTGCCCACTCCAAGATTGTTGGTGACTGCAGGCACCCCGGGGGGAACAGCAGCTGCGTCCCCCCTGGGAGAAACACATGACATCCAGCAGACGTAACACTAAATCTGAATAGTCAAAGGAGCGAAATTGTGTTCATTGTCATATGTTACAAAAAGTGGAAAAACATAAAATCATGAAATCAACATTTCAGGATTTTACACACCTGTGCTGGTTGAATAGCAGATGCAACTCAGGAATATTTGGTTCTGCTTCATCTGGTAAGAAGACATTTACAGAAGGATGTGACTAACTAAACATCAATGAACATGTATTTTTTTTAACAAAACCTCTTCGGACGATACAAAAAAATGGATTGATGCATCAGTGAACCCCACGTTTGCTTGCTCACCAGTTGCAAGGGGGAGGGGTGGAGGAGTCGGCGGTTGCCCCAAAGGATTATCACGAACATCTATTTTCAACAACGGCAAATCATTAAGGCAAGGTGGGATGAAGTGGAGTTCATTGCTGAAGATGAAAAGCTCCCTCAGGGAACGGAGAGAGCCTGGACACCACCAAGACACGTGATTTATTGGTTGGTTGGTTATCATTTTCATTTGCCTCACACAAATTATGAACACATCAATACATTACATTCATACCCATGGTCTCTGGTAGTCTCTTCAACTTGTTGTGGGACAATTCGAGCTTTTTCAGCTCTCCCAGAGAACCAATTTCATTCGGCAGCTCCTCAAGGAGGTTATCTGAAACATCCAGTGTCTGTAGCTCTTTTAGCTGGCCTAAACTCGCAGGCAGAGAAACTAGCTTATTTCCAATGAGGGAGAGATAGGTGAGGCTGGACAACTGGCCTATATTAGGGGGCAGCTCCGAGAAGCAGTTGTGACACAGGAGCAAGGCGGACAACGAAGGTAAGCTGAGAAGACACGATGGAAGGACGGAGAGCTGGTTGAAGGAAAGATCCACGTGCACCAAAAGACAGAGTGAGTTGAGGGAATTGGGCAAAGTGGTGAGGAGGCCAGGCAAGGGGTTTCCTTGTGCATCATAAACGCAGCGCCCTGAAATTAGAGAAAAAGTTTTTTTTTCAAACAGGGAAACTCACCAGACTTTTTAATAGGTGAACCGTGATTCGATGAAAGACGACTGTATAAGGACCTAATAAATTAATAATATACATTAAGCACCTCGTATGGCAAGTGAGTGTAGTTCTGTCAAATGGGGGAGGACACACAGGGCACCCTCCAGTGCAGGTTTATCCTCAGAACCAAGTCTCAGGTACCGGAGCCCCTTGAGGTGCCCTGGAATGGAACCCCATAGCAGCGCCAATGCAGCTGCTCCCCCCAGATAGACATCCAGTGTCAGCCTGGTATCAGTCAACACGGCTGAAAGCTCCACAGAGGGAGGTAAGGGTGGTGTGAGACATAGCACAGAGGAGAAGGACGACGACGAAAGACTGGATATGGAAGGATTGCAGGTGTCCATGAAACAGGAATCTGACACTGAGACAGCATCTCCCTCATCACGATGTCTCTGAACTCCGGCTCTCCTCTCTGAATGCAGCTGCTCATTGTAGACACGATCCGAGTCCTTCCTTAAAATCTCAGAAGAGTCTGTATCTCCATATCTGGACGTAGGTGTCACTGCTAAATGCTCATCTTCCAATCTACAACCAGCAGCTTTATCTCCGTCGTCATCGTTGCTGTTCTCTTCCTCGCTGCTTTTCTCCATTCAAGACCCTTTACTACACTTGATGTGATCGCGCTTTCTTATCGACTTCTTGTGTGTGTACGCGGAACACGCCCGGACATGGTTAGTGTCCGTCCGTATAAAAGCGGACAAGAGATAAAATACTGTAAAAATAAATGTAGCCGTTCCTAGACTTCCTCAAACTCAACTGGGTCAAAAAGTGAAACGCCTTACGTCACTTAAATGTTTGCTCGTTTTGTGTACATTTGAATAGCAGAAGGTGGTTCAACCGGCAATCTTACTTGACAAGCGACACTTTCCGCCCCTCTGACTTATGATGAGAGACAAACGAACGTCTCTCAGCAGATCCCGCGAAAGTTTCAACTGAAGGCGGGACTACGTACACGACAGGACAACTTCGTGGCTGGCTGTGCACATATGCTGCATTCGTAAAAAGTTGGAAATTGGGATTTTCCGATTTAAACATAATTTGCAGGATTCTAAACATTTTAGTTATTTAAAATAACCTCACGTGCAACAACGTGATTTGTACCGACTCCGTGAAGATATCTCTCTATTATCTCTCTGCATTAAATTATTTGGTGAAATGACTGAAAAGCGTTGATGCTATGATATTCCTTCATCTCCATAAATTAAGGAAATTATGAAGAATGTTTTCTCGCGGTCAAAATGTTTTGTGATGAACCAGAACAACAAACAATGTGTCAGAACCAGCCATCTTTATTGTTTACGTTCGCCTCGAACGCTTTGAGGTCGGACCTGGGACAATCCGAGGGGGATTCATCCAATTTCCCACGTTCTTCGGATGCAGCACTGGGTGTGTTTCTTTTGGCCAGCCAGGGGCGCTGTTTTCTGCCCCTTGCCAAGCCAAAGTGTTCCTTTGATGGATGGATGGATGGAAAGATAGATAGATAGAAGCATCAGAAAATTGTGGTTTGTTCATTTATAGGGCAAAGATATCTTCTTGTGGATATTTGTTTTTTACAGAAAATGTGGTTTTCCTTTTGTTTATTCTAAGCACCTGTCGATTCTATCAGCATTTCATGAAAGATCAAAAACATTTATACTGCACACAATACTAACATGCACCCACCCTAAAGTAACACTTACTCTCTGTCAGAGACGACTCTCTGAGGCTTTTGTCGTCTCTTTATCTCATTTTCAGAGATGTTTTTGCATGTGGTGAAGCCTGTTTTCATGGGTGCGGCCAATTTAGAAATGGGAACTGATCCATTTGCACTGATAAATCGGGAAAAGTGCTGAATGCAGTAATGGACTGCATGTATAAGTCAAAATTTGGAAGTAAACCTACATTTAAACAGGCTTTGGTCGGAAAGAGGTATGTTAATTCAACAGATGTGAGGACTTTTCTCTCCTCATTTCTGTACTTACTGGTAACTTAAAGTGACAGACCTGGAGTCAACCCATTATAGTTCTTCTCTGTGGCTTCATTTATACATTAGAATTCTTAAAACTACCTTTAAAGTGTTGAGTGTTGCACTTACAAATATTACACTTGCACAAGTCCATCTAGGTCGATTGAGTAACAATCTCAGTGTGTTATGCTACTTTCATTTTCTGCAGGCTAGTTTACGAAGTTGCAATTTCACAAGCAAGCCATATTTAGTCCACTGCATGCAATATGCTCTGAGCAGTGCTACTTTACACCAAACTGTACATCCATTAAACTCAATCAAATGCTGTCTCTAAATCTTCATCCTCTGTCATTTGATGGGTAGATTGATTATTGTGCACAAAGTCATGAGCTGCATGAAAAATGAAAATGGACAGCATCTTGTTAAATATATATACTTACTATACCTATACTTTTTTTTAAGTACAGTATCCATGCTAAATTTTAGTAGTTGGGTTTTTTTTCAGAATGAGAGCAACTTCTTGAATATTGATTAATGTGAAGGGCTACCGGTTTGATACACACTTCTGAAATAAATTTGATCAAGTTACCAATAATAATGTTATGATCAAGATACTGATCATGTTAATTATTTCTTTCAATAATTAGGAAACATAAATATCAATATGCAACACTAATTCTATAAATGTCTACCAATGTTTACTGTTTACATTTTGAACTAATCTCTACCAATGAAATTCCTAGTAAATGACAATGTCCGAGCACTGGTGAACTGTATTTACAACACGCCCGTGGGCTACTCATGTGATCCTCGGGGGCTGACCTTTGAATGGTGACCCCTGGTTTAGATTTTTACTCCCAGTTGGACAAGTCTTTGCCAGCAATAGTAACAAGCTTCTCACCAGCTAAACATTTGAAGATAACTATGGCAGGCTCATTATAACCTACTTCCGTCATGTTATCAGTGATGATAATCCTATTAGCATACAAAAAAAAAAGAAAATGCATCTTGAGTGACCCCCTTCCAAAATGTCTTCTCGTGCAAAAAGTAGAGTAGATATAGGTACATTTGGTAAGAATACTGAAAATATTTAATTTGGTTTCTTTTAAAGGGTACAGTATTATGAAATAATGATGATGCAACTACATAATATTGGAAATGTGTGAAATTTAATCTGTGTGTGTGTGTGTGTGTGTGTGTGTGTGTGTGTGTGTGTGTGTGTGTGTGTGTGTTTTATAGATGAAATAACAAACCAAAGCAGTTATCATATGAACAATGACCGGGTTAAACTTCACAGATTGGCTGATTTGCTCACTGAGGTCCTTATGGCCCCTACATTTAATATCACAGTACAATTATCAAATTGAAAAACAGCACACCAAGAGAGTCTTTCTTTACGGCGACAGTATATCATCACTAATTGTTGAAACGTAAAGCGTCTTCAAACTTCATGTCATACAGGAACAATAACAATGGTCACAATGTTAATCAAATGAAGTTTTTGTATTAGTCAGATCTAATCTTGTTTTGACTGTCGACAATCAATACACACTTTTTTTGCAACCATCCTCGCAAGTGTAGTTGCACAACAGAATATCCTCTCTGGGGAGTCATGTTGTCACTTAGATAACCGCACAACAACATTTTGAAAGGAACATTTCTGAAAAACATGATACAAAACAAGCGTAAATACTACACGACATTCTCCAAGAATGCATGGGATTCTGAATTTCAACACGACTTGTTGTGAAACAGGCTTTCCCTGTGAGTTTGCAACCAATTCACTTGCCAAGTGGCCCCTTTTGTACATTGTGCTGGTCCAACGTGATGTTTTCTAGCACATCGTTGCCTTGACAACAGTCTAAATAAATAGATAAATAAATAAATACCCATAGACAGATGAATATATATCCAGCAGAAGAATGTTCTTAAATGTAATGCAGTGATTCCCAGTCTAGGGTGAGAGATAAAAAGGGGTGCCAGGAGAAATTAAGTTTTCTTAATTTGTTTGAAAATCATTTATTCATTGTTTGATCTATCGCATCGAGACAGGCTAAATAATTTAAATGTTTCCGCACTAAATTACAAAGGGCGTACGAAAACTGCTGAGTCTTGACAGTGTTATATAATAGCATATGGCTTTCCTGTCATCACATCAGCTTTGTGTGCAATTAAACAGTCCCAAATTTCACACTCAAGTCCATACATTTCTGAGTAAATTTAGATGAGATCGTCATTTTTTTTCAGTATTTAATACGTTTTGTGACGTTTTTTGTTTAGTAGAGTGCAGTGAGTTTTTCTCTCGTAAAATGTGTGCCCTGACTAGGTTGGGAAACACTGATGTATATTTGTACAAACGTCAACAATTAAGTGAAAATATGAATTATGAAAACACATCGGGAAATATAATTAGCGAAAACAAAAAAAAAAAAACACACACACACACACAAAATATTAGCTCTCACGTGACGTTTGTTTGTGGCGCAAATCGTCCAATCTACGAACGTGTTCTCTAGAGTGACAACATCGCGGGTTGTAATTGGTCACACGGTCAATACGTCAATTTTGATTGGTCAACTGGCTTTGTATTCTCAATTGTGAGTGGGCACTGAAGTTTGTCACTACCCGCCTCTTTGTGCATAAAAGCATAACTATTCGGACGCAAACTAAGGTAACCACCGTGTCGGATTAATTTCATTTCCGTTTTCGTCACCGAGTCAAACCATATTGACTGCATATCGGTTTACTTTTTTAACTTTAAACATGTGAGTTTAGCGGATTATATTTGGGAGAAAGATTACCTTTCGGGATCGCCAGAGACCTCAACGCTGTTTGCTACCCGATTCAGCACAGCATGTCAACTGGCACTCGCAAAACTCCGAGCGACACTTCGACCGAAGAATAGCGAACTGTTTTCAAAACATTTGGTCCCCAAATCGAGGCGGGAACGTCGAGTTGTCACCGGAGCCCCGGCCGATGTCCATCAACCTGCCTGTCAACGCACACTATGTTCCCCTTGGACTCGTCATGGAACATTTCTTTCGCAGGTTGCGGATTCCTGGGCATCTATCATGTCGGCGTCGCCAGCTGCCTGTTGGAGCAGGCGCCTTTCCTTGTGCACAACGCCAAACACATTTATGGGGCTTCAGCCGGCGCGCTCACCGCCACCGCGCTGGTCACCGGCGTGTGCCTTGGTATGTCACTCGTTTGGCGCTAATCAGCCTCACAATTTGGGTGGCCTCTGGAACCGCTGCTAGAGTACAGTACACGGCGGCTAATCTTTCGCAAGTGAGAATTTATGCTTGCAAAATCTAAGCCTGAATTGCATGACTACAGCATACTGGACATAACTGGAGTGCTTCTTGTTTTCTGTTGGTGCTAATGGCCTTCAGAGTTGACAAAATACTCGTGCTCACTTCTACAGTATAAATTGGAAATCATACAGGTATATTTGTGTATTAAAATTAACACTCTTTAGTGCAATATGTTCCTTCGGCTTGTCCCACGAGGGGCAGTCTTGTATAAGGTAAATCAACATGTGAGGTGGTCCTCGGGTAAAAGTACAAGTATATGAAGAGAAAATAACGTTGATTGTTATCTTGGAGAATGTTACTCGAGTACAAGTTTTAGAGCAACATCACGAGTAAATGTTAAAGTATCTTGACAACAACTCAAGTCTTGAAGTAAGTTTGTTTGTTTTTGTTTAGTTAACTTAAGGTGGCATGGTGACCTACTGCAGTGATTCCCAACATTTTATGAGCCAAGGCATTTATTATAAATTTGAAAACTCTCACACCACCCAGCAAAATTGTCACAAGAAATGGATACACATAAGTCAAATACTTTCTGTCATCTGATAGTTTTTTTTTTCTGTCACTACAAGTTGCTAGTCTGGATAGATGGACACAGATACATTTCATAGTGTCCTGTGCACACCTTTAGAGCACTGGTTGGGAATCACTGACCTAGTGGATAGCACATCCACGTCACAGTTCGAAGGGTGGATGTTTGAATCCGACCTAAGGTTACAGGTACAGTTAAAAAAAAATTTGACGTAACGAAAGCAAAATTAACCTGTCAACCCATCTCTATCTACCTGTGATTGACATAAACATGTTATCACAAAGCAATAGCGAATGGTGTGACACATTATAGCAAATGTTCACAAGACCACTGATCAACAAGCCGATAATCCCTTTGCAGTCGTGGTGCGTCTAGAAGTGGCAACATTCTGCATGTAAATGCATCGCATAATATTGGCAGAGAAAGTTCTGCATGAACAGAATAGTACAGCACTAATACGGCACATGTCCAATGCTGTAGAATAAACTCCATCACCACTCACTCTCAAATTGTCTCATTGCAGAAAGAGAGAAGGAGCGATGCATGGGCAGGACTAATGTGCCATCCATAGTTTTCTTTTAGGAGTATTTTGGGGTGATCGTTCTTTCGAGCCATAACGGAGATGTGTGTGTTATTTTCCCATGTTGCAGAAAGTAAAGCTTCCTGTTGTATGTTTTTTTTTATCGCATGTTACTTTTTGCCATCACTAGTATCATTCTGTGGTATTGCCATTAAAAAGTCAAAGAGAAAGCAAAACAAATATCTTTTGAATTTTCACTGATACAGTAACTCCTCGCAAGATAACAAGTGACATCATGAAAGATAGCTATTCACACTCAGGATTTTTGTGTTGCATGAGAGGCATTTTATTCTGGAATTCCAAATTGTACGACCTTGGGGCAGTCAGTTTCCACCGCACATTTTTTTGGTCGTGTCGTGAACATTACTGTTCTGTCTTTTGACCAATCTCAACCCTTGTCATGTTGCATACACAGGAGAGGCTGGTGCCAGTATCATTGAGGTCGCCAAGGAAGCCAGAAAGCGTTTCCTCGGCCCCATGCATCCTTCCTTCAACCTGGTGAAGATCGTGCGCTTCATGTTGCAGCGCACTCTGCCCGCTGATTCTCACCAAATCGCCAACGGGAGGCTGGGAATCTCTCTGACCAGAGTAACAGATGGAGAAAATGTGGTTGTATCTCACTTCAACAACAAGGAGGAGATTGTGCAGGTATGACCATTAATGAGGTTTATTCGTGTTGAATGGATGACAGTTTCGTAGTTATTCAGACTTGTAACTGTGCACAGCCATGTAGTAAGTTTCTTGTTTCGTTTCTTACAGGCATGTGTTTGCAGTGCCTACATCCCCGTGTATTGTGGCATTATTCCTCCCACACTGCAAGGAGTGGTGAGTGGCACAATTATGTATTCTTGACAAAGGGGCAATAGTATTCAATAGCACAGTTAAAATTAGTGTACAGGTGCATCACAATAAATGATATCTTACCATCAGAATGAGCAGCACAATATCTATTGAAGCAAAAAAATGGCAGAAACTGTGGAATTACTTACATGTTATTTATTGTCATTACTTTTTTACAAAGTACAGTACAATATTGTGGAGTGCTATTGTCCCTGGTAAACACACATTGATTTTTTGGGGGGCGGTTCGAACGGATTAATGGAATTTCTATGAAATTCAATTGGGAAAGATGATTTCATGTGTTTGGTTGGAGTATTGCATTGACTTTTATTGCCTATATATTTGTAGCTTTCCTATTAAAGCCATCCATTACTTTGAAATTGGCCGTGATTGTGTTGAAACTAAACTTGAGGATTAGTTTCTCATTAACGGGCACATTTGAACTTCTGTCCTTCTCTGGACACTGTCACACTCACTCAGCACCACTGAGGTCTTCTACGAAAAGTTATTGCGCAATGGTGGCTCCCAGGAACCCTCCTCTCTGTGGCCTTTGTGATGGATTTTGGCAAGATCACACATGCTTGTGTGTACATAGGGTTTGTGACGAACATTTGAGGGTGGCAGTGCCAGTTGTGAGTGCGTTAGCTCGAACTTTCCGGGTCATTTTGTCCTCTCCTACCTTCTGTGGAACAGATCAGCTGACAGTTACGGCCTGTTTAGATGATCAGCTTTCTCAATAAAAAACATTCATTGTTGGAGGGGAATGCATTAAAGCACCTTAGTTTTCTTTAATAAATAAATAAACAAAATGTGTTACTTTTCGTTCGGGTGAGGAAATTTGCAAATAGTATTGAGGGAAGTCGCCTGAAAGTTACAGATTGCTGATGGGGGAGGGAGGAGATACTTAATACGTCCTTTTGAACCCAACCACCTCAGCTTTCTTAGGATATCATTCAAAGTAAATACATAGCTTGTCCTTGCAGTACAACACATCCCAGAACTTGAAAGCAATACTGGTTGAAAATTAAAACAAGACAAGAGCGAGTGAGAGAGAGACATCTGATAGATTTCCTGAGAAATAATCTGTGATGATAGAGGAAATCAATTGAATTGTCATTTCAGTGGGAAAACAAATAAATTCAATTGTAAAAAAAAAAAAAAAAAAAATGTTGGTGTTAAAGAGGGGGGCACAGTGGACAAGTGATTAGCATGTCTGCCTCTCACTTCGAAGGTTCAGGATTTGAATCTTGGCTCCGGCCTTACAGTGTGGATTGGTTGTTTGTCTGTCTGTGCCCTGCGATTGCATGGTGTCAAATTCAGGGTGTGCCCCGCCTCTCGGCCAAAGTCAGCTGGCATAGACTCCACCTGGGACCATAAAACCGTTGCCATATCTTCGTAGTTGCTTAGGAGAAATTGTATCCGATAAACATTTGGATGGACAGTGTTTACAAATTGTCTTTTGGTAAATAACACTGGCCAAAGTGCATAACTGCGTTTTGCAAATAGTATTGAGGGAAGTCGCCTGAAAGTTACAGATTGCTGATGGGGGAGGGAGGAGATACTTAATACGTCCTTTTGAACCCAACCACCTCAGCTTTCTTAGGATATCATTCAAAGTAAATACATAGCTTGTCCTTGCAGTACAACACATCCCAGAACTTGAAAGCAATACTGGTTGAAAATTAAAACAAGACAAGAGCGAGTGAGAGAGAGACATCTGATAGATTTCCTGAGAAATAATCTGTGATGATAGAGGAAATCAATTGAATTGTCATTTCAGTGGGAAAACAAATAAATTCAATTGTAAAAAAAAAAAAAAAAAAAATGTTGGTGTTAAAGAGGGGGGCACAGTGGACAAGTGATTAGCATGTCTGCCTCTCACTTCGAAGGTTCAGGATTTGAATCTTGGCTCCGGCCTTACAGTGTGGATTGGTTGTTTGTCTGTCTGTGCCCTGCGATTGCATGGTGTCAAATTCAGGGTGTGCCCCGCCTCTCGGCCAAAGTCAGCTGGCATAGACTCCACCTGGGACCATAAAACCGTTGCCATATCTTCGTAGTTGCTTAGGAGAAATTGTATCCGATAAACATTTGGATGGACAGTGTTTACAAATTGTCTTTTGGTAAATAACACTGGCCAAAGTGCATAACTGCGTCACTTGAATAACATTGCATTATAACAGTCTAGTCAATAGGTTCACCATTTCCTGTATCCTAACGTCTCTGTATTTCTTTTATGAAGCGATACGTTGATGGGGGAATCTCTGACAACTTGCCTCATTACGAGCTGAAAAACACAATCACGGTCTCCCCGTTCTCTGGTGAGAGCGATATTTGCCCCCGAGACACCTCCACCAACATACATGAGCTGCGCTTCACCAACACCAGCATCCAGTTCACCCTCACCAACCTTTACAGAATTTCCCGGGCACTTTTCCCACCAGATCCAATGGTAAGGTCACTTGAAGGCGCCTTCCGCAATCTACTGTTTTGACATATTTCGTGAACTAGATGATTTTTGTTGTGTCTAGGTAATGAAAGCCATGTGTAAACAGGGATATAATGACGCTCTGCACTTCCTGAAGAAAAATGGTAGGAACCGACACAATGTCATTTAGAGTTGCGTTTTTCAAACATCTTCAAAGTTCATTATGTACTTCCTTTTTTTTTTTTTCATAATGACACTGTTGGTGTTGCTCTGCTAACCTACATGAGTTATATATTTTATTTCTATTCAGGATTGCTCAATTTCAGCGACCCCCACATTGACAGAGCCCTCCAGGGAAACAGAGAAAAACACGAGGATCAAGTTGACTATGTTCATACTGATGCCAAAGGTGTTGGAGAGGATGAAAAGATGCATATGGTCGATGGACCATTGACTGTTCATCCCTCAATAGAGGAACACATCATTGTACGCCTTCCACCCACTCTGCACAAAGGTAACATCAGATTACCGTGTATAAGACCTAAACCAATACATAATCATGGAAAATTGTGGCCAATTAAACCAGTTGTTGTCAAAACTCTTATTGCGGCTTCTTTGGACAGTTTTATTTACAGTGGAGTGTTTGACTATTAGCAACGTGTGCTTCTTTGCCTCCCCCTGCAGCCCTGATTGAGGCCTGCACAGAGCGAAGGAGCCTGGTGCAGTCGCTTAGCAACCTGCTTCCTTTCAGGATGGCATCTGCCATGATGCTCCCCTACACTCTCCCTCTTGAGTCCGCTCTGTCTTTGACTCTCAGGTACTGGTAGACCTTATCACATTTGGACTCACTGATTCCTATTCTGAAATAATCACATGAAAGGTCTATCTGTTCATTCCTTTTTTTTTCTTTTTTTTTTGGTATTTATTTGTATGTTTTTGTGTGGATGTCATATGTAGACTTTTAGAGTGGTTGCCAGATGTGCAGGAGGATGTCGGGTGGATTCAGGAGCAGTTGGTGAAAGTCCTCCAGCATGTGCTGCGCCAGGCCTCCAAAAGCATTACGCAGCATTTTTCTGCCCGGTAAGTGTCATAGTGATTATGCTTGTGCGTAAATGATATTGATATGTAACATTTTGATCCATTAATTGATCAGGACCATAGCGTGAGGACTCTACTTTCATCCTAATAACAAAAGTCCAGTTTTGTTTGAACACTTCAAACTTAACAATAAGGGAGTATCACTTAATGTGATTTAAAGACATTAGTTCACTCTCATGTCTTATCTTATGGGAAGTCTGTTTACTAGGTCTACAGAAACTGACACTTCAACAGCCAAAAGACATAATTCGGGTGTTTGCCCAAGAAAAAATATCTATTCTGGCTTTTTTTTTCCTCTCAGATCAGTCAACAAAAGGAAATTAAAGTAAATAAACAATATAGTCAGCCTTCTATACAATATTATTGACATAAACCCAACATTTCCTCCTCATGGAAGCGAGCAGCTGTGACCAGCAAAGTGCGCACTTACAAGAACCAGGCAGTAGATGGCAATGAACGGCCTTGGTTTTTGTGCCAACATTTTTATTTGGTTCTCGCTCAACAACCTCGCACATTTCTCTTGAGACAGGGAATTGATTAAATGAGAGGGTTGATTTTTGTAATGCTTCAAATGCTGCTCCTCAGGTAAACAAGTTAATTGGGAACACGCAGGTGTTAGTTCTTGCATGATGCTGAGTCATGTAATGTTCAAAACAGTGGAATAAAACCAGGTTTCAAAGTTACTACTCGACTTATTCTGCTGATATGTACTTTAGATTCTCCTGTCAACTGGAGCTGCACCACTACCAGTCCCTCCCATCCCAGATCCGTTCCACCAGTCTGTATGCCACATGGGTGGGCAGCGGCACTCTTTCGGTCCAGGACATTTTTACGCGTTTAGACCAGTACAAGCGACAACTGCTATCCGGGACCTTTTGCGTCAACATGGATCTGGAAGGATCCTTCCAAACGGGGTCGATGTCGGTGGACAAAAGCTCTGCTTCCTTCCTCCCTGCAGAAGGCTTCCCAACGCACACAGGTGGTCTTAGTGACTCCAAAGATGCCATGCGTCACTTTGATTCAGACCTGCCACTTATAAATCCAGGTGCACATCAAACAAATTACTATCAGTTTTGAATATCTGTTTAAAAAAATAAAAAAAAGCAGATAGTTAGTTTGCCCCTCTGAGCTTTTATTGTGATGATTCCAAATGGTAACGGTGTACCCATGCAGCCATTTATGTGTGTTGTATTCGATTCAAATAAGCCCTTCGCTACAAAGTGCCCACACTCGCTCCGTGCTGATGTGCATCTGAAGGTCCAAGGTATGTTTATGTGTAGTCAGATACAAACTTGAATCCTAAGGTACTGTAAACTAAAATGCACTCTTTGGAAGTGACGTGGTGGAAGGAAGTGAGCGTTTGTTTTCCCGGAAAGTGGTTGGAGTTTAGGGTTGGAGTTTGGCCTTTTGCTTGCAGTGTGTAGCATCGTCCCTTGCTATGTTTGGTGCTGTTTTGAAACTGCAGGAAGGAAACAGTGAAGCCACCACTCGGCCTTTCGCAGGAAGTTACACCATACATTTTAAGCAACTGTCAATGCAGCAATATGAATTCAATACGCAGTGTTTTTGGTTCAGGTGCATATGTCCTGCGTGTGAATGAATGTTGATTGATGCACCCGTATACTCTGTACACCTGCCGTGTTTTTAGCCATGATCTTACTTGACAACCGTGTACCGCTGTTAGAAACATGATGTAGTTAATACATGTTGTGCTTTTAGTTGTATTCTAAAGGTCTGTTTACCTCAGGTTATACCATGTGACCTGATTTCTACCTGATTATAATCAACCAAAGAATCATCTTATTATAAACAGGACTTCATCATTGAATTTATTTTGTGATAGTTAATATACCTACTGTACATTGTCTTGGACTTTTACTTTGCATTGTGAGAAACTGTGTTACTTTGCCTCAACTTTATTCAACCGTATTTAATGTGTCATTAAACTGATAGAGTAGAAAACATTTTGTGACACACAAATAAACTGGTGTTGTTTACCACAGACAGCTGCTCTGAGTGTTGTGTTGATATCATCCAGGAAAGCTGTGATTTGATATGAAGCATGAACAATACACCCACAGTTCTAACCAAATGCCACTTGTGGAGTTTTTGGGGACATGAACCCAAGGAGGTTACAAATGTTCCAGTGATGATTCATAACTGTAAAGCACTGGTAACGACAATCTAGTATGCTTTGGAAGACATCTGAGGCAACAATGTTGTTCCCGAAAACAAACATGATTGGAACTTGACATGAATATTTAGCAGTAATGTTCACAAAATTGTTTGATTTGTTTTGATGATCTCAAGCAAACAGTGGGTTCAAGTGAGCAGCTGTATTGAAACTATATACTTCTCTCAAAAAGTTAGAGATACACTATCAGAAACATTCCGACACTTTCACTCAAATGGTCATTCAAAAAGTTACATGAGGTCACCTGAAAAGGTTATAGTGCATTCTAGTTTCATCCTGAAATTTCATCCAAAAGCCAAATCTCATCACCTTTTTGTTTGGTAGTGTATATAGAAACTTTTTTTTCTCTTGCCATACATTTCTGAATTAATAGATGTTATTGTCATCACAACAAATACATTTGAACACAGAGTGTATGTTTTTTGTTGTTGACAACTTACAACGTATTTTTCAGCAGGTATTTAAGTAGGTTTGTTTCATTGATGAGCCATAGATCAATGCCAACATTTGAGCTACTTCCACAAAGTGATTTATCACTCACAAATCGTTACATAATTGTCATCACAAGCTTATCTTGTTGTGCTTTCTTGCATAAGCGGTTAAACAGTGAGTCGCTGATAGGCTGAGGGAATCATGGTTGTAAACATGCTGATACTGCCACAATTCTAGGTGCAACCCACTACTGAGGTTGCCACAGTTCATTTGATTCTGACTTCTGGGAAGTGGGGGACACTGATCTTTAAAACGTTGCACATGACACAACTGCGCGCAAAATCAGGTACACTTGCACAAGCTCATAAGAACTAATCCACCAAATGTGTTAATGAAGATGATAACGTTCAGCTTTGATTCCCACTATCAAAACAAAATTAGTGGAATGATTATTGCATTTAAAAACAGGTCTTTGCACTTTATGCTATTTGCTTATCCATGACCTTATTTAAGATGATATTTAAATGTGTTGTGCCCACATAAAAAATCAGCAGCTTCTGACGTTCAAAAATCCTGGACAACTTATTTGGGGTTCATTCAGAGATGGGCACCTGTGGTCCTCAAAGGCCACTATACTGCATGTTTTAGATGTTGCCCTACTCCAACACACCCGATTCAACTGATCAGCTCACCATCAAGCTTTGCAGAAGCCTTATAATGATCCTGATCATTTGAATCTGGTGTGTTGGAGGAGGAAAACATCTAAAACATGCAGGATAATGGCCCTTGAGGAACTGAGTTGTCCATCCCTGGATTAATCAGAGGCACATTAAATGGTAGCAGGTGTGTGGTGACTCCCATTTAATACGAGTTCGAATTTGATTGGTTCATTCTATACACGGTCTCATCCCGAGTGAATAGAGTGTGTGCACACAGCCACTTGTTCCTCCATTGTTGTTTCAAATAGAGAAGAACATTTTGTTTGATTAATTATGAGGGATGTTCATTAACACTTTTTTTGAAGATAAGACAAGAAAACCTTTATTTGTCTCACAATGGAGAAATTCACAATTTACAGCAGTAAAATTTGGAGGGAAGAAAGTAGAAAAACATGGAAGTATTTGCATGCACAAAATAAATTTAAAAAATGAACTGTACAGAGTACATAATGCAATATGAGATATAAAATACAGTATAAGATATACCATAAGCATATATGCAACTGCATATATGCTGCATAAGGTGGCTGTGCTATTTAAAATGGGGGAGTGGGGGTGAGTCCAGCTTTTCAGGGGCGTCGATTCAGTAGCTTGACAGCAGTCGGCAGGAACGAGCGGCGGTACCTCTCCTTCTTGCAGAACCGGTGCATCAGTCTCTGGCTGCCCAGTGCTGTCAGGGTGGCCTGGAGGGGGTGGGAGTTTTACCAGTGTCAGTATTCACTCTTGAGGACTCACTGATCCTGAATAGGCTACTGTTACAATCAGTATGCCAAATAGATCAAAATTCAATTCAAATAATGAAGATAATGGTGAGCAAAGCCCTTTCTTTCTGACGCACATGATTAATGGGTCAAAACGCTACAGTGTCGCACCAACTACTGGCAAGGTTGACTACCATATTTTTTTATGTTGTTGTCTCAAGTACAAGTGGCTGGTATTCATTTTAGATACACTGAAATAAGGCTGTTGTGGGCTAGCTACCTGCCTCTCCCTAATATTTATTATTTGATGTTTTCTGTACAGCACTTTGGTACAGCTGCGGCTGTTGTGAAAGCGACGTTTCAAGTTGAGTTTATTTTTATTTCCCCTCTTGAAAAAACTGAGAAATTCAATTGATTGCAAACTTTTTACAGGCATTGAATATGAGAAGATAATTTGCTCTTGAAAATATTGTCTGCCGCACTTTTGATGTGGTGGCTAGCTACGCCCTTGATTTCAAGGGTTGTACTTTTTATTAGAAAGACCGTTTAGTAGAATTTCTGGATTTCCGAGGTGCTATGAATGCAACACCCGACTGCCACTCGTCATAAATTTGTCGTCAACTTTCAACAGCGTCACTTGGGGCGTCTCTCCACCAGGGGGCGCACCCCGGGAGAGGCTCCCAATCCAAGTCCATCCAAGCCACTTCTCCCGCACGATGAGCTGATTTGGTCCGGCACAGACGAGGGAAGATGGCGGCAACTGACCAGTCCCGGTCCGAATCTTCCAAACAGCGACGGCAGGATCAGCTGCAGCGATGGCTGGGCTCGGAGACAGACCGGACGGACTCGGAAGCTCGGTATACCGCGAGCAGCTCGGGCACTCGGCGGGCGAGGGTCCGCTTCGCCCAGGGAGCCGTGTTTATGGCCGCCTGCTCCGCCGGGGACCAGGAGGAGGTGGCGGCGCTTCTCCGCCAGGGAGCTGACATTGCCCACGCCAACAAAGACGGGCTGACGGCGCTCCACCAGGTCGGTCGAGTCAGTCTGGAAACTTTGAACATAACATTTGCAAAGTGGGAGAAACGACGTTTATAGCGCGCGCGTGTGTGTGTGTGTGAGGGGGAGAGTGTACAGCTGGGCTAATCGAAACATTTCCGTTAGCCGCTAGTGGCGCTTAAACTTCAGTCCATCACTTTGTTCTCTTTGGGTTGTGTTAAAAAAAAAATAGTCATTAGCAGCGCCATATGTGTCTTGCTTGAACACTCTGTCTCATTGTGACGCCTTTAACGTCACATTTGTAGCCAACGAAGATTTAGTTGGACTTTTTGGACGTGACAAGTCCCTAATGTAGTGTGCTGGTTGATTGGATTCAGTGACCTGTTTTACCAGCTGACTTAAATATTTTTTCACATTGTTCGTAGGGATTTTCGAAGCCAAAGCATATGTTTAAAATGAGAAAAGTCACAGCATTTAAACAGACAATTGCCAACTATGCATAGCACTGAAGATAAATATCTAAGTTGGCAGGACATTTGATTGTTCTGCCTGTCACTATACATCACTGGCAAAGATAATTGTATTTATTTTTTTGCCACCGAAGTTTAAGACCCTTTAAGTCAGATTGGGTTCGATCCCTCTGGTTTGGAATCACAGTTTGATTATCTAAAGCAACATATACACTATATTCTTTAAAAAAATCCTTGAGTTTAAAGACAAATGCTGCTGTTGTTCTGTTCCAGAAGCACTCTGGAAATACTCAACTGTCACACCAGCCCTCAGTGATGCACCGTTTCCCCTTTTACTGCCATGCATCATGTCATAAACACACCATTTGCCTTATAAAGTCCCCCCACAAGCATGGATTTAGCTGTAAAGTCTTTTTTTAGCTGTTGTCATAGTCTTTTTTTATTAGTTATTTCCAAAGCCAAAACATACAATTCAGCCAATCCCAAAACTCTCAGCAATACTAAAATGTTATATTACCAACTCAACGTGCGCTGATAATTTTTTGACCCAGCCACGATTTTTAAAAAGCCTAACCTGTTGATCCCTGTTGAATTTTTTTATTTGTTTATGCATTTTTTTTTTAATTCCCTTCCCAATTTCATTAACAACCAACAGCATGCTCCTTCAATGTTCCAACCATTGAACAGTACTTGCGAAACAATACAAACCGGTTGTTTGAACTGTACATGTAGTTCTCTCAAATAAAAATGAAAAGCCAGTTTGTCAGCTCACCGCAGGAGATTGTGGCTGAATTTTTCAGACCCCTGTGGAGGGAGATGAGAGCGGTGAACAACATTGGTTTTATTTTAAGGAATTAACCAATCACCGATTCCCCCAAAATTAAGACAATTGGCCCTGCCGATTGATCAGTGCACCCCTATAACTAACTTTTTGTTTACATATGCGTACACATATCCGCAAATATGTATCCACACGTACTGTATGAAACATATGCACACATATCCATTGACAAATTAATCAACGATAAGCTGTAGATTAGCTATAAAATCACTCTTTAAGTGTCTGCACCCTCAAAGATTGTTCTAGCCCACATTTGCTGGCCTGTGTGCACCCGATGATGTCATGCTCAGGGTGCTAAGCGGTGTTCCTGCCTCCTGACTGACTTGTATGGTGCAGATTGTGTGTGCCAACAATATTCTGCAAAACGTGCCCTCTTTTGGTCGAATCACACACATCACCCAGTGTGGTCCCGCCGCTGTGCTCCATCCCTTTCTCCAAGTGTTGCTCATCAGTTGCCAAGCGACCAGAATTAAATATAGTTGCACACACTCCAAACTTTCCGTCTCCTCCATCCAAAGCCTTCATGTCTTCTCCGCCATTTCTCTTCCCTCTGCCATCCCCTCCTCCGCCTTCTTTTCCCCCACTCTCCAATTCCCCATAGAGGGGACTTTGGGGAGTTCAAGATGAGGAAATGGAAAACTTTTCTTCCAACAG